TGCTATCGCAAGAGTAACTCCAGCTAGCTTCGCTAGCTTTCGTGATAAATCAAATTAGAATCATGCAATCAATAAATCCAATCCTTATATAAAACCGAGACTATATTATTTAGAATAGCATCTAAAACATCGAATTACGAATATATATTTTTTAATCTTACGTAATTATATGATTAACGAACGAACGTCGAGGCATATTAAATTCCAAATCCATATTACGGGTTTATGAAATCCAAATGCTACAATAAAATATAAAATTTAATGAATCAACCAATAAATATTTTGCAATTCACAGAAATAATTATTCAATTGTATCGAATATATAGCATAAAAATATAAACCTTTAGCATCAACATCGATTCCATTTATATCGAAAATCAATTTCAACGAAAATCAATCAATTTTCGACAATTTGCCAAAAATAAATTAATTATAAAAAATCATAACGATAATAATTTTAATAATGTTTCTATCCTAAAAGATTCGTATAACCAAAAACCTTCATCGAAATAAAAAACCGCTAATTCCATAAGATACGGATCACAATAAATTCAAATGCATATCTTTCCTATTCTATTCGGAAGATTATTCATTCCTATATAGATTTTTCTAATTAATATAAACCTCTAATTAATAGATTAATTCCCCCCCCATATAATAAATCAACAAAATCAAGAAGGTATAAAATAATCATTCATAAAATCCATTAAAACAAATATTTATTTTCTTAATTAATCTATTAATTAAAGAAAATTTATTAATCAATTCATAGATTCTTAATTCATATAATTAATTTAGTAATTTTCTTCTCACGTTATTCATTCCCCCATACTACTTAATTCTTTTTCAATTTATCGAAGAAATCTAATTTTTTTTAATATTATTATTATTACGTACTATTACTATTACCACCACCGTCACCTATTTAATAAAATCCTTAAAAATATCCAGGGCTTAGAGCATATAAATTGCCTCATTAAAATATATTTAAAATAATCATTTAATAAATTCATAAATATATCGATTCCCCATTAATATTTTATATTATTATCCCCTATTAATTTAATCCTATATTCCTAACCTTTTCTTTGTATTTATTTAAATTTGCTCTAATTATTACTACCTATTATTCCATTATCGACGACGATTATAATTACGATAATTCCCTAAACCGATAATTTAATTAAAAAAGATTTCAAATATTCAATATATATACAATATATATATATTTTTTTTTAAACATAAATACGAAAATTTATTTAAATTTAACAATTTTTAATAAATTTATATCCTCGAATTAATTAATTGTAATTTAGCATTATTTTTAAATCTCAAAAATATATAATCGTTAAACTAAAATATTTTATATATTCGATTTGCCCCATAATATAATTTTAAAAGAAAATATTTTTTTTGTTAATTCTTTTATATATATTTTTTTTAAACACCCATTCGATTTTCATTTTAAATACATCATATCGTTACGACAATAATAATCAATCCCCAATATACGTACGACCACATATTTAATCGCGAGACTTTACAACGACAAACGCGCGCATCCCAGACCGACACCCACCACCAACCTATCTCGAAAACACGCACAACCAACTCATTCTTATTTAAAATCAAAAATCCATAATTATCGATACAATACAATCATAAATAAAAGTTATAACGCAAAATAAACATCTCCAAATTTTAATTAATATGTTTCTATCGTTTGTAAGAATCCAAATCTCTAAATATTCCGGAAATTTAAAAAATTGATCGAAAATGTTCAGAATAAAAAATTGGATTTTCGGCCTCGTCATCTTAGGTCAGTTCTCATTTACGTTTGTAATATCGGGTTTCCGACAGGACGTGCGCAATGGGCCGAAGGGTTACCGTTTTATGTAACAATATAACAAATCAATTATTGATTATTTATTTTTGTTCTAAGTTTCAAATTTGCATCCCAGTCTTTGAAGCATTGGCAATAATTCTCCTGGAAATTTTGTTGCATACAAACGGACTAAGGATGAATCAACATGTTATGTTAAACAATGAAATCGTTGTTATTTCCAACCCATCCTCGTGTGTGGAGATTGCTCATCTCTTGGCAGCCTCCAATGTAAGTCCCGTTCACAAAGGCCTTGAACAAGAATTACGAGGTGCGGCATTGGATGACATCCACAAACAGTGGAACCAAATCATTTCTATGTGGCATGGAACTGGAGCGCTTCACCTGTGGCACGGTTGAAGAGCCAGTGTGTTTCCGCAAGACCTGAATTCTGGCACAGTTCACAGGAGTTCATTATGCAAGTATGGTTTATGTGACTAATCAAAAAGAATGGGTCAGCAAAATTTGTTCTTTGATATGCTCGCCGCTTAGTAGATGCCCCTAATCTGACAACACCTAAGAGGGAGTTTGGCTGATCTGGCCAAAGTTCTTGTTGAATGGGCCCATGTCTTGGCTCTCCCATCAAGTCCTGAGGCCGCGAAGGAGAGTCCAAGTTCCAAAAGTGGGCGAATTGGATTAGAAAATGATTCTATACACACCACATGTCTGTTGCGTGGTTGTGTGGCGTTCGGGTCAGCAGTCGCAGAACTATTAAACAGTTCAGCAATGAGTCTGCCAAATGTTCTCTCGAGGGATTCAAGGACCAGCTGTGCTTCTTGTAGGTCTGTCTCACTCCCAAGCATGGCACCAGTTCGATCACTGTCATCACAGGCTTTGGCCGCAATGAAGCAAGAACCTCCTTGGCCTCGGAAATCAAGATGACATACACAAGCTGCAAATCTGACCATACCGTTTGGCAGAGCTGGTGTTGACTGGAAGTCAAAAGGTGTACTTCCCGAAAACATATCGCCCGAAAGCTGGTGGCCTCACGTATAGGATTTCTCAGCGCCAGATGGTGAGCTTAACGGGGACTCGATGTTTATTGACGATGCTCCCAAGTGCCAGTGGTCTTTTTCTTGATTTGTCTATTTGTCGAGCTAGCACACGCTGTCTGCGGCATCCTGCCTTCTGCACAAATGGGCAATATGTCTTGCTGAAGAGGATAATTACATCCTTGGTGATGGGCCCCTCGTCAAAACATGTCAAAACTTCATAGGGGTACGTGCTCACAAAAATGCAGAACAGGCCTTGGAGACCCTCCTTCTGTTGTGATCCAAACGAATCAACAAATCCATTAGGCTTCAAGGTCATTTGAACATCACACCTACTATTACAATTCTTAAAACTCTGAGTTGATGACAATTGGCTTTGTACTGGAGCACTTAAATCCTTGCAGTGAGCGTCTTAGTAATATGGTTTGACTTCACTATATAATGTGTGCAAGGGTCAATGAAAACTGTGTGTTGTACCTGACAGCTCTTCCCTTGCGTGAACACCTGCCTCAATGTCCAATCAAACAACCATCGAGAAATCACCCCTTCGCCAATAAAGACTGGCAAAGCCTCTCTTTCCTGCAGCTTTGAGGTGACAAAAGCATAATCACCCATGACAGGGTTGATCCTTGCTGCCTCAGTCGACAAGTTTCTCCTAGTGGCTTGATATGTTTTGGTCCACATGATTCTCCTGTTGGTGCCATGGGAACGTGTAACTTGGACGCAGACCTACTTGTCTTCCATCGAAGTACAGTGATTTTCCGGGTGAAGAATTGAGGTATGTACTGCTTCTGCAGATTCAGCGGCTGCTGAGATGGTTTTGACCTGAGGAAGTCATTTCATGGCTTGAAGATACCCTTGACCCTCGAAAACTTGCCTCAAAGGGTTCATTTGATCTAGTTGATGACACTTTGCTCAAAAGCTTGGAAGCAGCAACAACTTCAAAACATTGCAAGGTTGTTCATGGTTGTTTCGTTCTTTAAAAGAAGTGCAACCATCAATCAATCTAAATAAATCTATCTGCCTTGCACACTGGCCATCAAATGTGCAATCCAATCCAAAGAACTGGTGCAGCAAAGGCAGCTTGTGGGATGTCACTGTCGTCGTCACAGGTGCTCGCACATAGGCAGCTGGGGCAGCTTGTGGGGCTGCGATCACAGGCATGCCCCTGGCAACAGCCATAGTTGGACCACAGCTCTGGGCAGCTTGAGTGATGATCTGTGTTCCAGCAGCCGGTCTATCTGCCAGACGGGTGACCGGCCCTGCGCCGAACGGCGCAAAGTACATGGCGCTGTAGGGTGCGGATGGGGCATTCATTCCTGCCCTCGGATTCATCTCAAAAGACCAGTGGCTGCAAGGCTTTGTAAGTTGCAGGACACAGAAATTGCTTGGTTTTCCTATGTGAAAATAAGAGAGGAACAAAGAAGGTAAAAAGAGCCGGCCCTCTTAATAGGGCTCCCTTTAAGGGGGTGTTCTTAAAGTGTCAATCTCTCATAATGGTGTTTCCACCACCCGAATGCCTTTTCTTTCAGTCTGATCAAGTGTCTCAAAACGTGGATGCCCTGCACAAAAACATCAGTATATACAAAGTGCAAAGCAATCTTTTCAATCGCATTGGCTTTAGACTCAGGAGATGCCATGGTCATCAGAGGCTCAGTCTCATCATTCTCATTTGGTGAAGTGTGTCGTCCAATAAGGCTGATTCGTTGCAGCCAACCCCACATCCACACACACAAAATGCTCAGCCTGTGGGTTCCCAAAACAGCAATCAAGTCGACCAGACTGGCACGAGCGGCGCTTTGCAAAGGAGAGCTCACACAGAATGTTCTTTCGCTTAGCCACTCCAGAGTGTTGAACAGCTACAAATGACAAACCATCTTAGGCTCTTCACGGCTCTTCTCATTCGTCTGCTGGCTTCGAAGCACACCCTGTAGAGAGCGAGCTCCTTCAACACGCACGCGACTGGTACCCCTATGTACAAGCCTCTTCAGCTGCATCCCTCTGGATCTTTTGAAGGCCTTGAGACATGACATCTCATGCTCGTGATGTTGGATTGCCATGCTCGTCGATGCATTTTTCAGCGACTTTTTGAGCCGGCCAAGTAGCGCTTCCAGGCTGACGCCGTCTCCAGCACCTCCTGCCCATCGCTTCAAACAGAAGAGTCGGTTGTGGAGTTGTGGAGTGTCGAAATTTTCTAGTTTGGTGACTGGAAGACTGAAGAGTTGGCAGAATTCACTGATCTTTTCTGGGAGCTCTTCAGCTGTTCTAATTCGTTCTCAAGGCCTGGCGTAGAGCTTCACGTAGGCCGACCTCGCTTTACTGTCTCCAAAATCCTTTAAGCAACAGCGCTTGAACACACACAGAGCACAAAGTCAGGTTCAGTGTGCGGATCGGACAAACTGAAAATCGCATTAATTACAGAACACAGCTCCATTGCAAGATTCCTGCCATGTTCTGCGAACAAGCTTGTTCTGAAAAGGTGAAGCACCTCCGCAGGAAGCTCTGGGCACATATCCACCACCTCAGATTCAAACATCCAAGAGGCCATACCAGGGTTCTACGGGGCTTGCGGATTCTTCTGGGCTAAAGCAGGATGATCTGCACTGTTTTCAAGCCAGGTACCGCAACACGTGTACCACCCGAGGGTGCCGCTTTGTTCCTTGCACACTGCCTTCTGAACCAAATCAACTCCAGAAGAGTTAGCCTCGCCAATTCAGTCCAATGTCGCCATGAAGGGGTTACAGTAAAGTCGAAACAGACTGAGTTGCAAAAACAGCTCCAGTGTGGCTCCCATTCAAATGTTTGATCGGCAGCCAAAGAATTTGTCCTTTCATCATATGGTGCTGTGCCATAGGCTCAGCAAAACCGTGCTTGAACACATGTATCTTGAAAAAGGCCCAAAGCCATCTTGGTGCTGGGCACAAGGTGAAGCCGCAAGCGGAGTTCCTGAGCGTGTACAGCCTATTGCGCGATTTTCAAAACTTGTTGTGGAGTTGCAGGTCATCAGGGTTTGGTGAGTGTATTATCGTTTTAAACATCCGTCAGGTTATCGTTTTTGGTGAGTGCGTTGTCGTTTTTAAGCATAACATTAATTTTGCGCTCCCATGACCACTCACTGACTATTCGTCATTGTCACTAATTTTGAGCCTAGCTCACATGCTTTTTGGAACAAAACAAACTGTCTGACATATCTGCTGCGACAAGCTCTCTTGGTTGGTTTACCTCCTCCTTCGACAGTATCGCGCTCCCTGACATCATCAAATCATTTCACCAATGGTTGAACTATACATAGCTAGCACATGCTAGGACAAGGAATCTCCAGCTTCCCACAAAACCATCCTGAAGGTCCTTTGAATCACGGTCCACATCAAAATTCACCGGCATTCCGCCATGATTTGACGATATTTTCTAATTGCAAGCATGAATCCGCTTCATGATTGGTTCCACTGGCTTCCTGGCTCGACGGACCGATGCGAAAAGGACGCGTTCCATGTCGACTCATGTCCATTCGACTTGAATGTTTCTGTCGGGCGAGTGCAACCGGACAAGTGCTGTATTCGCTGTGTTTGACTCTCTCGTATGGACTTTGATGTATTTAGCATTCAGCTTCTGCTCGTTCAAGTTTTTTTGGAGCCAGGTCACCAGCTCCACTTCCTGTTTGACAGCATTGAAACCACTTATCTTGGACACTTGGACACCCTGAGTGATTAAGACTTGAGACAATGATTTCATCAAGTGCTGAGGTACAAGCTCCTTGTGGATAGGTTGCGATGATCAGCCATTTTTCACAGTAAATATGATATATATATATAAATATAATGAAGGCTAAATGGAGGGTGTGTCGAAAGGAGGTCAGCAAAAATCGCATATACGAAGTTAGTGCATCAAAAATACCTTCCACGAAGTTCTGCGAAGGTTTCTGGAATTTCGTTGCAGTCAGTTCTCCTACTGGCCCACCATTCCACGAACTGTCCACGAATAGCCTCGGGTTCTACGAATGTCCCACGCCTTCCACGATGTTAGTAGAATAGGTTTTTGCAAAACCCTTTCTGTGCACTACCCTTCCGTTTGCCTCTGATATAACTATAGTAACATATTATACAGTATATATAACAACACCAAGCAGCTCCGGGTGTTCACTCCACCAAATCGGGATTCTGGCTGAACCAAAATAGGGACCTTCAAAATTCTGGCTGAAACTTCCATCTGTCAAACTCGAAATCGCGTCCTGGCAATAGCATCGAAAGAAGCCATGGGCCATCGCATCTCGGGCCTCCGAACAGCGTGGTGCCACGATCCATCTTCTCCAGCACCAAACACCACTTAGACTTAGGGAAACATGTGTGGTGCTGGATGATGTGGATCAACATCTAATCTAGGGGTCCAATTCTGGGATTAATTGAAGACTGAGATCGAATTCCTTCAGTCCCTTCCGACCTCTCCAAAGGACTTCAGGCTGTCATCGAAGCGCAACATTCCCCAGAGTTGGGCCTTGGTTCCGAAGCAAGCCGCCAGCGACTCTGCTTGACGCTGCAAACCCGGAGTTGAGGACTTGGCACTACACCAACGCACACCCCGCAAAACATCACAAGACTCTTCCAGGTCAAGTCTTGTAGCCTGAAAACACTTTTCAGGATAGGTGCGTTCTATGCCCATGGCCCATGGATCAGGGGCTGAAAAATGAAGAACATTTCGCCCAAGCGACAGCAAAGCGGCCAGGCTTGGAGAGCACCTGAAAGCCCACTAGTGACAAAGGATCAAAACAAGCTTAGGCACCAAAATCATGCAAATTCAATCTGTTCCACTACTTGAAGCTCACATTGTCGATTGTTTAGGTGCTGCGCTGCACGTTCCTTCTCTCTATTGTGTCATTGAGTCGAAGAGCCGGAAAGGCTTCCCAAAGGCGCACAGATGGCTCGCTGGAGCTGAAATTCACCAGCACCTCAGTGGTCGCATCAGTCAAACGAGTCTCGCGGAAGATCGAGCGACGCAAAGATCGGATGGCCTCCACCGATCAGATCGGTTCCGGCATGTTATAGCTATAGTTGTAATGGCCTCCAACCTACTAGCGATGGCCTCCAACCCAGGAGCGATGGCCTCCAACCTCGTAGCGATGGAGCGATGGCCTCCAACCTAGTATCAATGGCCTTCAACCTAATCGCGATGGCCTCCAACCTAGTAGCTTCTAGCTACTAGTTGCGGGTGTTGGCATTTTGGGAAGCGGGTGGGAAAGCGAACGCTGCCAAGAGACGTGCCGGGCCAACAATGGACCTTCGATGCTCAAAGACGTTGCTTCTGCAGATGCAATGACTCTACCTCAGTTTCTTTTGGTGTCAAGAAGATCAAAAAGGGGAGTGCACTCCGACTACCTGGCACAGGCACACACTTTCTACATCTTCCCAGTCTGATCCCGCAAAAGGGCCCCTAGAATTATACTGAACCTATCTGGAACCAGACTCTTGCCCTAGAGTGGCACAGCAGTGTGGCATGTCAGTTTGACAGGCTTGACCTTCGTGTCCTCAACAGGAATCATGCGAATCTGACAAATCATGAAATGTCCACTCCGATTCGAATGAACAAAGAAATTCTGAGACGACATGTTCCAAAACAGACTAAGATTCAGGCCATAAAAACTCAAAGACAAGAATTGATCAGTGAAGTACTCAGCATCGTTGACAATCTTGTCTTCGGAAGACAACGCTCGCCTCTGCAAAGACCCATCTCACATTCATGGTCTTTCTCGTTGAAGTTAAACAGGTAACAGATGGTAACAGCATCTCAACATCTCTTTGAGTGAGCCCTCGCGAAGGAGAATGCTTGCTGACTCGAGGACTAAAGTTCCATCTGCAACCCCCTACGAAGCGGGAGGGGCGTGTTCCAAACCCAAGTCGGGCTACCAAACGGTCGGTTCCTTCCTGCGCTTCCTCTCCTCTGCAACCGGCCGGTGGACTCCAACCAGTCGAATCCTCCGACCGCAGATCTGGGGCTTCCGACCAAGCTTCCACGACGTCGCCAACCGGCTCATTGCACAGCACTCGGCCGAACGACCTGAGCACTCGGTATCACTCGGTTGAGACCCGTCACGGGCTGGGTCTCACCGGTAAATGTTTCCATCCGTAAGGACCGTAAGACGGCGAAGCTGGTGCCGACTGAAAAAAGACTTCATGGCCAAAGCTTATTAAGAGTCCCTGAATTGGGCACCCACATACATTAAACTAAATAACCGAGGAGTACTCACTTCACTACTTAGCTTGTTCACTGATTCAATTCATGTAGAGTAAGTAATTCCCCTCTCTCTCTCTCTCCAACCTCCCAAAGCTCTGAATCTCGGGGCCTGGAATGTTGCTGAAACAGCCAATCGCTGGGAGTTCCTTGGGTTGAGGCAACCAAAACAGTCGCAGACTTTTTGGCGAAACCAACCTGGCCCCAAGGCGTTTCCATTGGGCAAACCTTGGATTCTTCAACATTTGACGACAAACACATTTTTATGCTGTACCGAAAGTAGGCCCAACATCACCAATGTATATGTCTTGACACGACAAGCCGGAACACCCCAGCAATATCCAGCAATGATACAAACAGCTCATTCCATTCCATTCCATTCCATTCAGTCCGTGAGGTGATGGATTCCCACACAGAGAAGTTGCCAGCGTGCGAGGACCCAATGGTGCCATGGATTCTGGACCTCTTGCCATGCGCCCCCTATTCACCCAGTTGGTTGCTAGTGGCCTGTACCTTTGTGACCTTACTATCAGGAGTGAGCTCATCGCTGCCTAGATGCCAGCTAGCTGCGCCACAACCTCTGCGGAACCATGAAGAGCCTGCGTGAAATTGGCCCGCGAACAGAAACATGCGCATGACTTTTGTCAACTCACCGCAAACCCTCTGGGCCAAATCTACTATGGATACATCGCCACTCATAATCACAGAAAAGGAACTGTGTAAGTGCAGCAAAGAAACAAAAGTTCAGCTCCAATAAACTCCAGTTCAACACGTTGAGAATTCACAGCAACGGCTACCCTCAAAAGGCACTTGAATTTGCAAAAACCGTTCACTTGAATGAGGCAGAACATGTTTGAATCATGTTGTGAATAACAACATCCACTGTTGCTGATGAAACGCACAATAGGAAATGCAGGTAAACATTGGCTGAAGAGGCATGAAGAGGCCACCTTCATTGCTTCCTGAAGTGCCATGGCAGTCTCACTTGGCTGAACAGGCACCTCGCGGTAGATCAGCGATGGAATCCAACGTCTCATCGGATCCGACGAATCATGCTTTCCACGCTCCGGCTGACATGAACATTGCATGACATTGCCATCTGTTCAAAATCGAAGAAAGACTGCACCACATTGATTTCAAACATCATCCACTTCACACTGCGGTTTTCTCTTGGTGATGCCACATGTCTTCTTTCAACACTTCCCCGTCGGCCCTCTTTCGATATGACGCACCCACCTCCTTGACCACAGCCAAGCGTGCAAGGCTTGCGCCTCATCGACCGTGCTTCCAGTGGTTCACTGGAAGACGTTGGGTTCACATGGATGAACATGGACTTTCTACATCCACCGTGTTCCCATTATTACAGTATGTTTCCCCTTGCGTTGAGGGTTATTAAAAGATTGTGTCACCTTTTGTCCCATTGACCAGAAGGGCAACAACTTTGAAAGATTCGCTCACCTTGGCAGCCGCCTTTCGTTCATAGTTTGGCAGGCTAGAACTTGGCCCTTACTCGGTGCCTATGTTCCTACGGTTTTTACATTTGGCCAGCATCATCCAGAAAAAGTTCATGTCGTCAGTGTTTCTCATCTGCCCTGCAAGGATGAAGCTGATGGACCTCATCTGCAAAACTTGATAGAAACTGCCAAAACAACGTGATTAGCATTGACCTAGCACCCTATCTATTGCTCTACTGACTACAATACTACAGTCCCACGGATTCTACGACTGAACCCTTGCTTGAAACGCTGACCTGCCACGAACAGCCGTTTGGCTCATCAGGGCACCTAGTAGCATGGCCTCGGTCTGCATGTGCGCTTGCCGTGGCCTCGGTCTGGGAGTCGAGTGCATTCGACCCGAATCAGAATGCAACAGCCACCAACGTCATGGCAAAAGCTACCAACATCCGGCAACTTCCACAGGGTTTAATGACGGTTCATGGACACAAACAAATTGCTCATTACGAGGGTACTAACGAGGGTCCTACGATGGACGATGACGGACGGTGACGCGCTGTTCTTCTGAAAATTGTCGGGTGGTCGAAGCGCGTGGGATTCTTTACGAGTTCATCACTTGCCAAGCGAACATACAGCCATTGATTGGTGAAATTCCTGGCCGTGGGCCATGTCTAGCTTTCCAAGCGTTGTATTCGCCGAGCATAGTCACTGATACGGCGAGTTGTATATCTTCGAAGCATGGGGGATCATCGAAAACTAGACAGACACACGTTACAAACAAGAGAAGCTTCGAAGATCCTTACTAGAGTCACTAGAGCAAGCAACCCCCCTTTACACCTGGATCCCTGCAGGTTGATCAGAATTTCCTGGCATGGTGATGTTTCAATCTGTTTGTATTCCGATAGATTGTACTGGTCATAGTGCTAAGAGTATGGTATCCTTCCTGAAAACTTTCAATACAATTTCTCGGCTGCCAACACTTCAATGATATCTTTCAGGAAGTCTGCATCACCGTGAGCCTGGGGACTGATGTAGACAGTAGGGTCATTTTCGGGCCCCTCGAGACAACCAGTCAATTAACAGCAAGGCAAAAAAAAAATATTTCTCAGAAAGTAGCTTGTTGAGAAAACAAACAAACCACTATTGCTAACATCAAAGTAACTAGCCGGTTCTCTCATGGTTCGGCTAGGGACACACCCACACATGAATGTACCGGAACTTGAGCAGTGTTTGTGCAAGCAATATCTGAACCTCACACTGTCACACTGACTACTTTACCATGAGCCAGCATGTCCTTTTTGGCTTCCCTAGTTAGCTTTAGATCAAACTAGGAAGCCGTGAGTTTCCAAACCGCCAGAGAGCCTTTGAGGCCAACTGCCCCAACCAAAGCTAAGCACACCTGCCTGGAAGCAAAGGTCAACCATCATTGCCTCGAGTCAACCACAATGGTGTGCGGTATGCATTCAGTGTGGAGTGCAGGTCACTATGGGCTTCCAACAGGAGAATGCACCCCAACATGGTCGCAGTGAAATAATGGACGAGCACAATTATATTATATATGTACATGCAAAATCATGCAAAAATCTTGCTTGCGATATAGCGACAAGCACCCTCTCAACTTTCCAAGGTCTATGTTTCGCATGGAATCCAGCCCAAACAATGCGCAGCTTCTTCTTCCAACTGTCCCGTGCTGAGATCTGTGCTCGACGCTGGGCCATCTGTGCAGTGAACTCGTCCTTGGTGACCTTTTCAAAGAAGAGCGTTGCGGACACCTCAAGCAAACCAGCATTAGCAAGCAGCATGCGGGAAGAAACATTCAAAATATATAATATATTATGGTGTCTCATGAACATCAATGAACATCTTTGGGTCCACGAGCTGCCAAGAGGGGATCCCAGGGTCTTGAGGCGAGCGAGGAAAAAGGAGTCTTAAGAAACTGCCGTCAACTGCAGTCATTCCTCGTTCCATGGATTCATGCACGTGACCGTCCTTTTCGTTCAAATGCGCTTCTTGTCCAAGCATCGAACGCTGCTATCTTCTGCGCACTTTGCTGCCAGCGATGCAAATGCAGCAGCCAGCCTTTCAAACACCAACTTTTAACCCCGAAGTCATTCCAATCTGCCCGTCAACAAGTCTTTTGACTCTAGCTCTAGCTCTCGAAGGTACTGTAAGTTAGGACCAAACACGTATGCTCTCACTTTTGTTGGGTGGAAACTGGAAACAAATCCCCAAAAAACAGACATCTTGCAGGCTCAACCAACCACTGCAAAGAACTGGCAAAACATCACACCATATCACATCATCCACACCATCATGCAAAGTTTAACAAACGGTAAAAGCATCTCAAATCCCCGACAACGCGAGATCTCTTGGCTCCCAAACAAGTCGGCTGCTTCTTCGGAGGAGTTACTGGTCTCCTTGGTATTGTGAAGAACCGATCCCAAACCATCAACATGGACTGAACCTTCATCTAGCATCATCATGCATCATCTGAATCTAGCCTTATATTCAAACATATTACACATAATTACACACAATAAATCGCCCCGCTGGAGCCTCAGCGTATAATCAGTGCGTCTACCCACTGTCCCAAAATAAGTTCCGTCCGTTGAGCAAAGAAGTGGGTCTGGATGATGTACAATGACAATGCCCGCGTGAACCCATCTATGGCAGCTAGTTATGCTAATTGTTGTGTTTTAAGACTTTAAGAAACTTAAAACATGTGAAGCAAAACGCATTCAGAGCTTTCGCAAGGCAAGCAATGTTGTCGTATGCCAGAATAAAGCAACACAAAACGAGAAAGCTCTCGAGGAAATCAAGCAGCAACAAGATCGTCACTGGATTTGTTGGTGTTTTGGCCCGCCTCTTAATCAAAAAGCCCCAAATGTACGAATTCGGATGCGCTCCAACTTGCATCAGGTGGAGATGAGCAGGTGGAGCTGCTGGAGGCGATCCTCTCAGGCTCATACGACGCCCAAGAGCTGAGCCGCGAAGTCCGACCTTGGCGTACGACGCCCGAGGGCGAAGTGGTGCCGAGACTTGGATCATGGATTGGTGAAGTATGCCACGACCATTCCTGTTGAAGATCTCAAGTCATTGGGGCTTTTTTGGCATAGACTATATACCTGAATGTCAACATCTCACCTGAACCTGCGCCAAGTCGTCAACAAAAGGATTTAGAAGGCACGGCACGGGTGCTGCTCACACCAAAACGAGCTCTCAGGATCAAACCAATCAAACCTTTAAACTTTAAGAACACCGGACGAGTCGGACGAGCAAAGGGCATAAGCAAAGGAAGCCTCTCTTTTGAATTCCCTCAAGCATGCATGAAGCATTTCTCGGAGTGCCAAAAAGGCATGCCTGTTGAATTTTTCTTCAATGGCGACCCTAGGGTCGGCCGGCCCTGTTTCAGTCGAGTGGCTTCTTCTCGGGTCTTGGAAGATCACCTCCAGGACCTGGGCTTGTGCTTTCATGAAGAAATATACCAACGATCTATCATGAGCTATCTAACCACCCTAAAAAGAACAAACACATTATGGTAATTGACTAATTGGACGTATTACTTATCGTTGCGTTTCACTCGTGGCATGCAAATTTACAATGTTCATCAATTTCCCTCCCTGAACCAGAGTTCGGGGAAAAAGGTTACCTGGATCCATCACAAACGAACAATCTATGTTCACGCGTTCACACCTTTTTTCCATGAAGTTTTTTGCACGGTTCACTCAGACTTACACATCTCCACTTCGTCCCCAAACAGCAAACCCAAGCATCCCGAGTCTTGCCCAAGGCCCCTCGCACAAGCGCCAGCCTCTTTGCACCTGTTGCCACATGACCACATGGGAGGTCGAAAACTTCCCACCTCAATCTAAGGTGAACTGCAGCTCTGTCCAGATGCCTGGAAATACCCCCTTCAAGTGTCTTTGATTGTTTGGCAGTGATGTGATCAGTGATACGCAGTGATCTTTGACCAGTGGCATTAATCCTTTCGTTCAACTGGCCTTGCCATTGGCAAGGGTTTCCGCTATGACTCGGCCTGACGCTATGCATGCATGGCCACAGCTCAGCGTCTGCAAATGGGTGTCTCTGTCTCTGTCAAAACTGGCTTGCGCTTGGCAACGCCTCAACATGAGCCATCTTGCTTTACCTACCACAGCCGATAGATTCCTGCCATTTCCACAGTGACACATGCACCTAAGTAGAAAATGTGTCCTCTTTTCACGTGAAGTTCGGGCTCTCACATGCTCAGGTCAATCGACCAGCCTTCCAGCTTCAATAGCTTCAATTCAGCTGCATCCAGCTTTACTGCAAGCAGATGAGTCTGTTGATGGTAGACCTGCGCAGGTCGACGAGGACACTGAGCGATCCGACACCGAGCGATCTCGGGCTCGCACATCAGGATGTCGGGTGAGGCTTCTCCATGGAACCTCACCGAGCCAGGAACCATTGTGGTTCCTGATGAACATCTGAAATGCTGCGATGCCATTCATCATGATCTCTGTTACATTCTGTTACTACGGACAATCAAACAACATGCCAAACACATTTTATCCCAAACTACCGGCCCATGGCACACGATGAAGACTCAAAGTCCCATCCGATGAAATATGGGGGTTGATGAGAAAGTCCTGCTGCAAAGGTCGACTTAGGATGCTTGATGATGCTTGATTCCAGCTCGAAGATAGCAGCGACAGGTGAAGGCTCTTTTCCCTACGTCCTCGCCAATGGACCATTAACAAGGAGTGAATGCCATTCAAAATCATTCAGGCGAGGAGCAAATGTCGACCTGACCCAGTTGCTCTAAACAGTTTCATTACAAATGGTTGACTCTCATGACGGACTCCTACCGACTCCTAAGCCGCATGGTAGCACGGGACATGCACACAAAACACGGCACCGACGAATTTGCCCGCAGCTCAGCCCCTGGCGCTCTCGCGAACGCAAATTGTGGCCCACAGCGGGTCCTCACAAAAGCAATTAATTGCCAACCACAACTGTGCCACCAGAAACCAGAAATTGCTGCATAATTGTTACTAGTAGCTTCTTCCTCCTAGTAGCGATGGCCTCCAACCAACTTGTGATGGCCTCCACCTAATAAAGAAGGAAGGCGAAAAGGATTTCTCTATACAGGATCGAACTCTAGGACCTAGGATCTTCCTGGAATCCGATGAACAATTCAGTCTGACAGACAGGCATCGCGGTGGGGCCTCAGCATGAGCCTCTCGCGGAAATTGGAGCAAGGCGCAGCCTGCGGAAGGCCACAACAAAGCTGCCGAAGGCCGAAGGGACAGTCCGACCATGTCTGAGGGCCAGTCGGAAAGAGGAATCGAAAGGCCATCGGCAAAGATGAAGCAATGTGAGAAGCCTGAGCCTCAGATGAAATGAATGTCTGTGGTCCGAATAAAGCTGATACAGATAAAATCCTACACCACATCGTCCGAAACATTAAACAAAGTTGTATATGGACCAATAGGTGTCGTACTAATGCCTCTCTATGGCATGACTGCTGGTTACACGCTGATATTTTACTAGCTGTCGCAGAAAAACACCTGGCTATCCAAAAAATAACTCTTCCGACACATTGACACCTTTGATTGTGTAGTCCTTCGACTGGTGAGCATCAAGCAAAAGCTGAGCGGTCAAACCAACAGTGTGGTCAACTGGTTGGTTGTCCATGTCCGCTGCAGCATGCGCGCTGTAATAACATAACATGTAACATGCCTGTTTGATTTTCTCTGTATAACGTTTTGGGAGCCAAAGACTTCTCTGATGCGTTTCAACACATAGGCTACAAACAAAAGACACATATAAATATATTATATATGATATATTGTCCTCACTCATCCAACATCATCCAACTGCATCTTTCAACACAGGAACGCTTGCCGTGTGCTCGACAAGGCCACGCGCTGGACAAGCCTCGAAGGGTCGATGAATCGGTAGGCGGCCGGTGTGTTTACTGTAGAGATAGGACGGTTTATGATATTTCCAGACCCCCCCCCGGAAATCCCCGGAATCATGAATCAACAGGTGCATCGCTAGTAGTAACAGGTGCCACGCTAGTAGTAACAAGTGCCTTACTAGTAGTAACAAGGACGCTACTAGGAACAGGTGCATCGCTAGTAGTAACAAGTGCGTTTATGCAAATCTGTTCACTCTCATACTGACCAGGTCTGACCAGCGAAAGGTGTTCAGCGAGACATTCACTTGTGAAAAGGGCCTCAAAAAAAAGACCGAGCCAGCTTTCAAGAGTCTCAATATGGATGTTAGCCGATCAAATTGTAGCCCGCTTAGTGATTGGCCGATCCTCCTTGAGCACTTCGCGCAGCAAGATCCTGATGCAAATTGCAGCTTCGAGTCCATGGATCGATGGCTCAAAATGTGTGCATGATATCCTCATGTTTCTGTAAAGAAACTGAACATTTCAGGGGATCCATCGTGTGCTGTAAATAAAGTATGGAAAGCATACACAGCATATTATCGTGTGGTCTTAATGTTTTTGGATGCTTTTGGTAGGGTTTTCCATTCTATGTATCATACGGTCTCCTTCATTTGCTGCAAGCGACCCCCCGGCCTTCGCTGGGAGATCGACACTTCGATTCCCAAGTGGCGAGACATTTCCACCACCTGCGGAAGCATCGAAGCGGTGCTTTCGATCCAAATGGCGAGCCCTCCCTCCAGCCTGTGAGTGGAGAACAGGGCGAGCTGTCCAATGCAAGAACATGATCTTCTAATGATGACTGAATGAATCTTTGAGCCCCCTCCTTTCTCCAACACAAGAAACACTACAAGGAACATACATCATTAAAAGTCATCAAACATCAAGCTCAGGCACCAGATTCTTTGCCCAGCTGGTGAACTCTCGAGGCCTGACACACGGGCACAACGGGGAGGCGGAACTGAGTCTGGTTTTTCACAGTCCCAGTCCTGGCCAGCGGTCTTCCACCCAACCATTCTTCGTGGGATCTTCTGGAAAGGATGCAGACTTTGGACTTGCGGAGCACACTAAGTTGCCTAGCTGCCCTAGCTAGCTGCGACTAGGAGATGTGGGTTGTTCTGAAACTTCTGGCGCCTGCGCATCAGTTCTCGAATCACCTCTCCATCATTCTCCAGTGTTGCTACCACACCTCGCCGTCTCCTCGCGTCGACGGAGTCACCGTATCTCCACGCCTGCCGCCGGGCATCATGCCGGCGGCCTCTGCGATGCCGGGATCCTGGTGATTGAAAAAAGAACATGTGCGCAATCCTTACTTTACTAGTAGCTTCTTGTTACTAGTAGCGATGGCCTCCACCTAGTAGCTTCTTGTTACTAGAAGCGATGACCTCCAACCTAATAGCGATGGCCTCCACCTAGTAGCTTCTTGTTACTAGTAGCGATGGCCTCCAACCTAATGGCGATGGCCTCCACCTAGTAGCTTCTTGTTACTAGTAGCGATGACCTCCAACCCAATAGCGATGGCCTCCACCTAGTAGCTTCTTGTTCCTAACAAGTATCCGGGACGTGAATTTGAGCCCAAGAGTCTGAGCCAGGCAGGGTCAGGATGGAAAAGGACCCATGCTGAGGCTCTGGCGGTGAGGCGCAAGCAACCTCAACTGCTTCAGCTTGCATTTTGCGATACATTTCACGTATGTAGGTACTTGTACATACGCATACGGTATACGTATTTTTCGCATAAGTTCTTTGCAATGAGAGATGAATGGAAAACACCTGGAATCGCTGGTTTCCGACAGGTTGCAAAGGGTAGACCAACATTGATTGGAAGTGGAACGTGAAGTCCATCGAACTCCACAAACAATTCAGACTCTTGCTGAATGAACTAAGTCACAAGCTTCTACCTAGACAACACATTGCCAAATCTGTTTCCAGATCCTCAAGTTCAAGTACTGTAAATATAGGACTCTCAAAGAACCGAAGCATGGCATGTGCCCGTGCTCCTCTGCTGTTCGCGAGGTCTGTGGCGAAGCATGGCGAAGCATGCCAGAGCTTTCTGAATTAATCCAAACGTCCAATGCGTTGCTTTTCACTTGCATCCCAAAATGCTTGCCACTGAACCGTTATCAACCGTCCCTCGCCAGGAAACGGTCAGCCAAGGGCAGTGAAATGGAGTCTGTGGGAGCCTCAGAGCGCAAAGTCAAAGCCTGGATTCACTGGAAGCAGTATTTCAAGGGATCCACAATAAGTAATGTGATTGCAACATATCGGCAAAAGAAAGTAGAGTACAGTAAGGTTTTGAAGTTTATAATATATTGTAATAATATAATATATTGCACAGTGTGTTCGTTTGGTCATCTTTCTCATGTCGATCTCAGGACAGCCTCGCTGCTGCCAAGCAGCGGCATGTTCCGGCCACACCGCAGCCATTAGCTGATCCTCGGTCACTAGCTGACATAGGGTTCTGATCAAGCAAGATTCTGGAGGCCTTCAAGGCATGTTGTCCACTTGGGAATACTTGGGAGTTCTATAGGTGGTGGCCATTTTCTGATTGGAAAGTCCTTGAGGTTCGGGCGACATCGAAGGGCCGCCACACCAGGATGGCCCCTTTCTGCAGCAAAGAGTTGTAGGCCTACACAATAAGAACATATAAGAACATAAGAACATAGCATGTTCATACCTGTCCACATGCGCAAAGTCTCTTTGCTGCAAGTGCCCACGCAAAGTTGAACATAGACTGTCATCATTAGTCCATCACTGAAACCTTGCTGAAACTGCAAGCCAATGCACTCTCCGCACCAACCAAATTTGAATACTATTCGAATGTCCCTTGACGAAGCAAACAAAAATCAAACAAGCTGCTTCTAGCCTGCTGGAGGGAGCATGTGGCTCCATCCTTAGGCAAGCTTTTTTTCACTGTGATACTGACTTAACCATCTCAACAACCCAAACGCCAATGCTCGTGACTTGGAGAGTGTTCAAGTGGTCCCACCTGGATCATCCAGGACTGTGGCTGATCAAGAGGGCCCCCAATCATGCCTAAACAATCAAAAGGCCACCTGGTCAGCTTAGTCTCCAACATCTTCGGCTGCAAGGCCATTTTCGCGTCGTTGGGAAAGCACCGTGTAAGCCTCTTCGGAGCAACCAAATCTGTGCTCAAAAGGCGTCCTCCTTGTCTCTGCATCATTTCCTGCCTCCACCTCATGTTTGGCAGCCAAGCGCGAGAAAAGTCCAAGCCTGGCCAAGCCTTGCAGATGCGACATTTCCCCACGGGTAATCACTGTCAGACCTCGATAAACACATGCAGAAACCCACAGCAAACAAGTTAGGCCAGGTTCATCTTGTTGCATGAGGAGTCAAATTAATTGATATTTGGAATGGAGAGACTGAATATGATCTCGCGTACAAAGTCAACAACCCGCTCTCACATGAGGAGTGGAAAAAAAACACATGAACAACACGTGCTATATTCTTTTTTGCTCTCTCTCTCTCTCTGTATATGGGTGTCCGTTGAACCTTTGCACATTGGCTGCAAAAACACATATATCGCCGATATCGCATCAAGAATACGTAAGTGCATGGCAGCTGGTGACTCCTGTGTTGCACCAAATGGAGACATACGCATTCATCCCTCTCTACCTCTGTCCCTGAGATTCCAACAGTCTGTACCATCTTGCCTCAGCGAAGTCGGGGTCACTCGGGGTTCAAAAAACGATGTCCACAATAAATACGGTAACATTTGGTAACTTACCATTATTCCACGGTTCATGTTTGAACTCACAATGGAACTGTGGAATGGATCAAGATTGGAATTGGTGATCTGTCAGAAACCCTTTATCATTGAGTCTAATAATCACACTACAGAGCAGCCGGCTTTTGTGATCTATCCCTCCGGCTGCTGAATTTGCATTCATGGTTTATCAATTGATGCACATTGTAAATGGTCCGTCTAACATCTCTGACTCTGGATAGAAGAAACATATCCCAATTGCTACAACGACTAGATAAGCTGGTAAGACCAAGAAAACCTCCTAGGACCCTATCATCATCATTGTGTTTCCAAGATTGTAGAGACATGGAAGACAAGATTATATTGACCTGAACCAATCATACCATCACATACATATATATATATATGGAAAACAACATTATTGACCTGGACCTGAAACAATTATGTTGTTCCTTCAATATCTTCAGATCAATGAAATGCGTTTCTCCAAGAATGGGGCCCCTGGTCTCCGGGGATGAACGTAGCTGCATAGCTCTCTGTGTGGCCCAAAAGCACACAAAGAGCTATGCTGCGAACCAACACGATTCGTCCGACTGTCCAACCTGAATGCAAATGGACAGTCAAAGTCTTGGCCAAACTAAACGATTGGGGATTGAATAATGATATACCCCACCCACAAGAAATGCAACTGGACTCATGCTGTCTTTCAAGTGTTCATCGTCAAGAGGCATAGGCAATTATTGCCAACTTCTCAAGTCCCCAAGCACATCTGAGACGCATGCGGCTTCCACGCATCCTTGTTCTTTGACCAGCCAAATCCTCCGAGCGACATCCCATGGACTAGCAGTACCCAACCAGGATAGCCAGTTTTGAAGTGGGGAAAAGGTATGTAAAGGTGCTGAGCTGTCACAAAAGCACTTCATTCTTCTAAGGCCCTCAGCCGGGTGCCAAGTCCATTTTAGAGTGAACTGGTAGCTTCTAGCTACTAAACTCAAAAGGGATCTACTGAACCCACCAAGTCAGGTCGCACGAATCCATCGGTGACATCCAGCGAAGCTAGCCGACTCCGTCGGCAAGTCGCCAAGGGATTCACCACATTGACATCAATCGTCGGCACTTCCCCTTCGCCTTCATCGATCGCCAGTTTTAAATTGCAAATATGATCCACTAGTACCAACGGATGGCAAGGTACCACATTTCCCCGGGCTCTGATTGGAGCATGGCAAGATTGGAAGCATCCCAAGACAGTCCATGGTGCAGTGCTTGCACAGGAGCAGCCTTGGCTTTGGCGGTGAAACACGCGGATGGGAAGAGAGGGGTGAAGGTGTCCTTGAAACTAGTCTGACAAAAGAAACCTCTTCCTAATAACCTCATATAAAGGTATCTGGAATTACTAAGTTGCAGTCGTGGTGTTGTCTCCAGCAGGTGGATCAAAAAAAAGAGTCATTGGGCGTGCCCAAGGAGCACTTCAATTCAAGCATTGGTTTTGAACAAACTTTGCAGTTTGGGGGGCAGCTCAGTAAAGTCCAAACCTGGAGCTCTGATAAGCATAGTCAGGCATAGTCAGAACGCCACGAGAATAACCGCTGATCCGGCTCTGGTTTTATATAACATATATGATGGAGAGAGAGAGAGAGAGAGCCACCCCAGAGCCAGTGTTAACCGAGCAATTAAACGTACTCAAACCAAGCCCTTCCAATGTGGTTTTCGAGAGCGTCTCCAGGCCGTATCTCAGCCGCAGGCCACACGGCTCTTGCCAGGTCCACCACTCGGTGCTTCACCTTGAGGAGAAGCTGGGCGTGACCCATGGGTCACCAAAAAAACATCAAGGCCCGCAGCATGCTCCAGAAAGTAAGGCAAAAGGCAAAACTTGTCACATGATGTCACATGTATCTTTTGACTGCACTAGTCACTACAAGAACTGAACGTGTTCTAAAATCCTTCAACCTTTGTACGAGCAAGCAAAAATAACTACATGCCGTCCAGAACTAAGGTGTAGTCCCATCACCACCAAATCAGCATCACTGAGGAGCTCGACATAGCCTCAAGTTCAATTGACCTCCACAGCGGACCAAACAAGACAACATGTCTTAGCCTCCTGTGAATTGAAGTGACACAGTGAAACTAGAAACTAAACAAAACAACTATCTTCAGGGCATAAGGTCCATTCATATCCATTCACAGAATGAGGCCACAGCCCATGGGTTTTGTGCTGAGAATCTTCTTCAGGGCATCGAAATCAGCCCTCAGGAAGTCACTGTTTGAAGCGCGGTGAGCCGTTTAAAAAAAAAAAAAAAAACAAAGCAATGGGTCTTTCAACAACACTGTGTAACCACTATATAAATATTCTATAATTTGTGTCAAGTTCGAGAAATCCATGTGTTTACATGAGCGCGGCCACATGTTGCTACGAACAGCACGGTCGTTGTTTAGGATGCCTTAGGGCTTTGCTACAGTCAATGCCTTTGTCCTTCTTTGTCCATCATCCAGCTGCGTCCAAGAATCTGATTGACCGTCGCCGGCACCACAAGCACCACCTGGGTCCAAGAAAGCGCTCACAAGCACCACCTGTGCTCGCCCAGTCTGTCTTTGGAAGATGGATCCGCAATAATGCTGTGCTCACACAGCAAGTTGCCAAACAACCATCTGCACGTTCTCCAAGCCTGTACTCAACAGAGGTCCCTGGGTGGCCCATGAAGGCCTCCGTCCAAGCCATATCCAACCGCCCGTCCGGAGACGCCGGTTCCGCCCGTCTTGCCTCCTGGCTCCGCAGCACGTCCGGCGCCGCGGCCGCGACGAAGGCTGCAGCATGGGCACGGGAGTGACCTGGGATGCCCCGCCGCGGGAAGGCCGAGGAAGTGGGCCAAGGTCATGGAAGGTCACGGGCAAGGAGAAGAAGGGTGCATGAAATCCGTTCTTTTTTAAATACAGTAAATGTCTTGGAGCGCGAACTGTAAGTGCTGAGAGACCCAAATTTTAAAAGCCACGCCAACTAAGACCAAAAGCCGCGTGGTTCTGACATTTTTTTGAGTGGCTTCACTGAGATCTATCTGCCTTAATATAAAATCAAGAAATTGCACACTGCAAAAGAACTCCACACACACACATTGTCACATAACTCTCTTCGAGGACTAAGATTGCAACAAGACATTCCGGCCACGGGTGCAGAGGGAGAAACCTGGAAAAAAAGTTTGGCTGCTCTCTGGCTGTGCTTGTCAATGCGTCAAAGGGTAGGACCTTCAAACAAACGAACTTGGGCCATTGTGACCAGGGAAACAAATTGACGCTAAGGTACATGAAGTGCAGCTTCCTTGCCGTCGTTCGGAGGGCACAAAAAGGCTTGGATAGATAGGAACATCGGCGAGGGCCAGGGTCGCAGTGCCTCTTTCACTTGCAGGAATGGCCACTTCCTCAGGGAAAGGGACCCAGTTTCATGTTGTGATATCAAAAACCAATTACACAGTGACGCAGTGCTGCTGCTACTACAGTAACAAGCAAATTCAAATGCATTCAAAACAAAATTGGAGATAGAAAGCACAAAGCAACAGTGGTGGTAACTGTGCCATTTGGAACCTCCATATCGTCTCTTAAATAGCCCTATCGCTTAACGACGCGCGAGCACCCAGTCCGAATGAGTGGGCCATAACTTGCAGCTTTTCGATGCTTGTAGCGGACCCACGGACCAAAACACATCTGTTGCAAGAGTGCAACAGCACCACTTCTCCGGATGACGAAAAGCCAGTGGCTTTGGCTTTGCAAATAGTCAAACCAGCCTCAGATGACAAACCGACACAGAAGTGCAACAGAAACAACAAAGCTTGAAACCAGACTGGTGTGTGCAGTTGTTGTGTCATGATTTCGGGCCTCATAATCGGCCTCATATTAGGACAAAGAGTGCACTTGATATTGCGGTTTCAGGATGTTTCAGGCCATTCTTAGTGATGCTGCAATCATCAGGGGCATGTATCAATGAACGAGGCGGCACAAGCATAACCCGGTGCCCGGATGAGCTTACATAATTAGATTCTAGTGAACAGCAAACAGTGATCTCTTAGCACACACTCGCTCACTCTCTAGCTCTTTGTATATATTATATATATATTGTATATATATATATATTATATAACTCTCAGTGAATTCTTCTGACTTTAAACAAGGCCGGCGGATCCTGTTCTTGGACTTGTTGAGATGAACAGGCATCAGTTTGACAAGTCACAGTAGTAACAGCATGTCAAAGGGATAAGTCAAGGATGTGAGAGATGGCTTGCTTGGAGACCAGCAAGCAAATAGATTACAGCAATATAGCCTCCTAAACCAAACGGGGTCTAAACAACAGCATGTACATTGAGAAACTATCTGCTCGCTTTCCTCACAAGCAACTCTGCAAAGAATCACTTCTAAGCGCATCCTTGTCGTCCCTGTGCATCTTCGGAGGAAGACCCCAAAGCAAGCGCCACTGAGAGGACGAAGGCTGAAAGGGGCGATCCTGAGCAAGAAACGGCTGGAGTGGAGAATCTTGGTCATCTCTAGATTTATGGTTCTGGCATGTTCTGGCTACCCACCCCCGCGGGTGACAAACAATCTTCTTTCAGACTATGTCCCTCCAACCTCCAAGATACTCACTGGTGAATCACCAAAGGTTTTGGGCGTCCATTTGAGACTACTTGCCATCCCAAGAACTTGCAAAAGGGCTGAGGCCGGGGGGGCTATCTCCAGGGGTGAGGTATGGTTTATCCAACAATCCAACCTACAAAGTCGCTTCTTCACATCTTTGTTGATTGACACATCATCCTGCATGCTCTGGCACAGCAACTCTGCATCCACGACACCACTAAAATTGCACATCCACTCATCAGCAGAAGTTCTCCTGAGACTCCAGCGAGAAGAGTAGACAACTACGCAGTTTTGCAGTAGAAATGCGTGACTGAGCAGGAGTATCCAAAGCTATGTTGCATAGCTGTATACTCATTCTTGACTGAACAAGTGGACCAACAAAACGGGGAAAGTGCACTTGGCCCAGTTCGCATCTCATCAAGTCTCTGGTAACTTCCGTGACTCCCAAAGAGGAGGCATCGCTGAAAATGGTCCTTGGAGAGCAATTGTGGAAACGCAACTGGGACACTGCCCAAATGGACGTTTCTTTGTCCAGCAAGTGGCACAATCTGCGAATCACGGCCAACATGAAAACAACAAGAAGATTGGACATGAGACGGCGTTTCTAGGTTCAAACTTTGTGGTCAGTGGGCAGGCTGACTAACCTTCGGTGTTGTCGTCGGTGGTTTCGGCAAAAGCATGTCAACCTTCGACGTTCTTCAGAACTCAACCTGGGTTCAGTGGTGACCTGGTGATGTCTAACTTGTGGGCCACAAAGTGGAATTACTCCATGCGGTAACTGAGGGAACGAACAAGCAATGCGGTTCGGGCTTCAAAACGGTGGGTTCATAGTGAAGCTGCCTCAACCTCCCATGTGGCCACGCCGGATCTCCTGTTCGCGCAGTCTTCCTGCCAAGTTCCTAAGTTGCTTACCCCGAGGTCACAAAAAGGGTCCATTCCATTGGGTCCATCGTCCGCCACGAACACCACCGGCGCTTGTTCGCGGCGCGCACTTCTTTGCCCAAGACGCACTGCCGACATCTCGGGCTCATCACTTTGGAGGTCCACCCGAGGCAATGGCTTCACCTGAATGATCCAGTTGAGGCAATGGCAACAGGTCTGACATGCTACTTACTTTGACATATACAACTTTGATAGAGAACATCTTTGTGGCTAGTAGTAAGGAGTAGCCAGAGTACTTGAGTCCAAGACCTCAAAAGGCTGTCGCAGCAAGGGCTGGCCGAATCCAAGACTGAATGTATATACATTATTGCATCTGGATACTGTATGTCCTGACATCATTGTCTCAAAGCACATTGCGGTTCCTTCGTTTATCTTCCATCATCATTCTCACTATGGTGTCACAATATTATATATATATGTATATATATATATACATACACACATATCATTGGTTACATATTGAATTATCTCACCAAGTTGGGATATACATATATAATTATGTATATGGATGCTCAATGTCCTCATTTTGTGAAGTAGGACATCTACATTTGGTCCACCAACACCGAGATGTTCTAGCGAGGACATCAGGCCGAAGAGCGATTGGCCCTTTGCTCTCGACCTTTGCATCTGCCTCATGCCACAGCTGACTTTGGGTCAAAGAACAGTTGGGTTCAATGGTAAGATCTATCTTCAGAAGAAAATTACCTGCATGTACATGCATATTCTGTACATAGATGCTGTGTGTAGGATGTGTGCAGGTTGTTCGATGATGTTTGATGTGAGTTGAAGCACTGTTGATGCCTCACAACAAAGCAGAAACAAAACCATCTCGGGCACCTTTGGGTCTGCTTTCTTCAATGGGTCCTGCAGAATGGCTGAGCCTTTCAGTGGGCCTTTGCCAACCCTGCTGCATATTCAAAGAAACCTTTCCAACTTTCTCAGCAAATACATTTGTTCTTGGTCACCCAACGGTGTTCCACGAACCCAACGGCGAACTCTGCGGGAAGCGAATAGGGATCTCCGGGGCCAGGGTGGATCTCTTTGTGCGACTTGGACCTTTAAGGCAACTTAGACCTTTTGGGGTGGATCTCTTTTTTGCATCTCGCTGGGATTGCTGTAAAATCTTAAAACATCTTTGCGCGGTGCTTTCGGTGTGATTCTGTGCCCTGACAGGCCCACAGCTGAACAGCCAGTCCTCTGGATCTTTGGTGCCAGGAATCAGTCCAGCTTTAAGCAACGATACTTCTTGCGAAGGCTTGCCCGGTGGTGCAGGAGGCGGAGGTGGTGGCTTAGGCAATGGCCGTGTCCAGGACGAGTCTTTGGTCACTGGATTGTAAAAATAGGCTTTCGCTGTCCTGAAGACTCGTCGGCAGGGTTCTCTGCCAAAGCAAACAACTTTCTGAAATGGCGGGACTCGTTTTCCTCTTCAGTCTCTCTTCAGCCTGGTTGGAGAAACAAGTCGTGTGTCTTTTTCCGTCGAAGCACCTGAAGTCTCGGAATTCGATCCAGTCTTCAGGTGAACCAGTGGCGATGTGGCTCATGTCTGCTTTCTTCACCTCAGGGACTCAGGGACCTTAGGTGGAAAAACTCCCCACAATCGGTCTAACGAAAAATAAGTAACACATATTTATATAGAAACAGAAAAGACATGAATAAAGGTTTAAAGGTGTCTGATGGTGTTTGATCTCTGATTTCTGCAAAGTGCTCTTCCAGCCTGTTCCTCCTTCGGCGCTGGTGGGGGTGCTCTTGGCGACGGCCAAGGCACAGCTGGCAGCAGCGGTGCGAACGAGGCACCGTCCGCCTTCGCTGCTGTTGGCAAGGGTGGCGGCAATGGAGCAATGGGCACCAAGGGCGGCACTGTACCTCTTCAGGTCATACACTTGCCATTGTGATGAGTCAGGCCAAAGTCTGTGATGCTTTTGAGCAAGGCACCTGTCTTCTTGACAATAGCCGGCGTCACTGCCTGGCTCCAGCTTGTGCTGGAAGAGTCTATTTTTTCGCATGTAGGAAAATCAACAGGATAGCCCCAGCCTCAAATGCAACTGTCTCTCAGAAACTCTCGACTCAGCGAATCCCAAAGAAGTTACAAACTGAAGAATTGTGATGCCTATATACATAAACTTTACGCCAATGCTCAATGTCCCTCTTTTCTCCACCAAACTCCCGAAATCATCACATTCATCATCGCCGCCACCGCTGTCATGAGAGTAGGAAACTATAGTTTCCAGAGGCCATCTTGCCAGCCACCTGTTTTCGCCCAAAGCCTTCCTAGAACATCAACCAACACCTTTAAGCTTTACCTTTAAGATCCTTGAAGTATCTCAGCAGCTTTCTCAGGCTAAACAAAGCCCTGGCACTTGAGGCGCCCGTTTGATCCACCTCCATGTGGGTATGCACACCCTGAGGCCCGGCCTTCGGCTTGACAGGAATTGGCGGTGGTCCCAGGACCTGCAAAACAAGTTTTTGGTCTCAAAATCAAACAAAGCTCTAGCAAAGTAGGACTGTTTTCTTGGACCCACACTGCCATAATGGACGCAACCCTACCCTGAGTGTCTAGGATGCCATGGGGCATGCCAAATCCCTTCAGCCCCAAAACTTAATGTGTTTTGCCGGCTCTTCAAATTGCTTTTCGATCTGGCGGTCTTCGTTCTGAGAGCCCAACTGACAGCAGGCTCGAGGGCAAACCTTTGGCTTCGATCGCAGCTGAGACAGATCGGAACCTCGGCCCAAACCGACGTTGAACCGCCCAGTCGGTCCATCAGTTGGACGCCTGACAAAGGGATACACATGAATGAAAAAACGGTTCCTAATGATTTCCTATGCTTCTGTCGTGAAGGCTATTTTTGTCCATCAGTTTGTGACACATATGGCATCGAAGAATGCCCAAAAGCCACTGAAGAAACTTGGATGCAGCAACCAGCTGCGCACCAGCCTTGTTCGTGCGGGATCCAAACTTTCACTCAAAAAGCGTGTACTGAAAGTCAGGGAATGTCACTGTGGCAGCAAAAGCTTCCCAACAAAACTCGCAGCCCTGCGCACGCGGTGTTCCCGCCGCCTCAAAAGATTTTCTTTTTTTGGTGAAACGATGAAGGTCTCATGTCTCACGGTCTCACCCACCGCAAGCTGTTCCTGGCAGCTATCCAACTTCTCAAAAGCATTGCTGCATTGCTACAAAGCTTTCGTGGCAAGTTGGCGATGTTGGCCCCCCAATTAATAATCACGGCGGTGCTGAGGCGCAAACACCAAAGGATAGGAAATTCTTAATATCCGTAGCCTCAATCACCTCCCCACAAGCGATCTTTCCAATCCTTTCATGATTTGCAGCTTCAGCTTTTGATTGCTTTTGCAGCTCCACTTATGTTACAAGGAAAGCGACAGCATCCTTGCGGCAAGACTGCGCGACCAAGAATATACCGAGCTCCCAACCGTCCTTTGAAACAGTCCCACAATAAACTCATACTCAAATTTTCATAACATTGCTGGAAATCAGAATGTATGTAGTTTTCTTTCTTCTAGGTCCTTGCGGTTTCGGATTCTGAAAGAACATCAAACAATCAAACACATTATGAATGTCTGAAGTTGGGTCTACAGCATTGCCAAACATGCCATAAGAGCGGTTCTGGCAAATCAACCAAGTTCAGTGTCGGTTGAACAAATACAGCAAAACCATTCTGACAGGGAAAAGCAGCACTTTCGCGTTAATCTAGGTGTCTTTCGTGTTAAGTACTTGGCGAACGGGACGCCTTCCGACGATGGTGGTCCTCTTTTTCGCCGAAAGTTTTGCCGTTTGTTTAGGTCTAAAGGACACCCAAAGATGTCCTTTGTGAAGCTCTTCACTTCGGGAAAATAACGGTCGCCTTTATGCGACACAGACCAGTAATTGGTCCAACCCAAGAAGGTTTGCATCGGAAAGGGTCACGATGGGGTTTCAAACAAACTCGGCTTGACAAACACCACACCCTCGTGGATCCCCTCTCAATGCCTGTAGCTGATGGCACAAAACATACTATACAGTACACCAGCAAAGTCTGAGCGATGCTCCCAATCCACCCCATTCCACCAGAAGAATCAAACACCTAATCAACTGCACGAAGCAATGAACTAAAACATTCTTTGTAGAAAAGTGTAGACATGTCGCAGGTTTCCTGGGGGTGACGCCGATCTCCAATCTGACGGTGAAGCCAAGAGCCATCGAATAAACACAGGAGCAATAGTTCTTTGGAACTGACTCCCCTGAGCTTGACTCTTCTTCCTTCCTGAACATCTGGACATGGAATGTGCCCCGCCAATACTCTTAAGCATGTCTGTGTGATTCCCTCATATTCCCTCGTGATAAGGATAACCCTGTTGGGATATTGTTGTTGGCATCTGTCCTAGGCAGCCTCCAGTGTTCATCATTTTCACTTCTTGAGATGGTTGAACTATACAAACGCTTGAACATTGAAACCTAAATTGCCATGCGATTCCGAAATTGCCACGTCGAGATACGTCGAGTGACGTTCTTTCGTGAGAGACATCAGGAGCGAAGACGAGTGGTGAGACCTTGGAATTAGATTGCCTTAAAATGAAGACAGCAACCCGTGAGCGCCAAAATTCTGGGCTGCAAGAGCTGCCCTTGCTGAACTTGCTGAACGACGAAGCGTGAAGTACGAGGCGACTGAAACAATTTGGGGGTGCGACAGTGACCTAAGTCGTAGCGACTGACCTAAGTGGATGTCATATTATGTGCATCCGTTCATCCGTGTGCTCGTTCTGAGCTGCAGGGCTACATGGGATACTCCTTCCAATCTCTACTATCGGAAGCGAAAGGCATGAAAGCTGGGACTGAGTTGTCCAACGGCTACACTGCACTGCTCAAAATGATTGATTTGCCTACTATGCCACACAATACCACTCCAATGTTGGGTAGCCTTTCCATCCTTCGTGGTAGTTCTTTGTTGACCAGTGTGTCTTGTGCGGTTCGCTGAGTTGCCGTTGCCTTGGGACCTGAAGCACGCGGGTTCAAGCCGTTCAGTGGATAGCGTAGTCAAAAGCAAATAACAGGGCCCTTCGCCTCGATGTACCTTCTATGAAGGTGAACTAATATAGTTGGTGGCATGCACATGAGTTGTGCATAGCTGTGCTGTCCTTTTAAGTTTAAGACAACTTCCTCTTCTTTGCCACTCATCGCTGCTAGTATGCTGCCAGTGCTTCCACATGGTTCACCAAGTTTGGAGCCCTCCAACCCATCCGCACCCCAAACAATGTTCGCCAACATCGTTTCTGCTTGACATACTTGAATCCACTTTGCTGTCAGTCTATCTTTGTCTTTTTCTTAGTTCAGTGTTGCGGGCACCATACAGTATTGCTCTCAGCCCAGCGGCACCGAGAACTAATTTGCTGTGGCTCAAGCCTCGGATTCAGCTGAGCTCAGGGCTGACAAATGACAAGTGTGAGTCAACTGAAAACTGCCCAAAACATAGTGGTTCACCCCCAAAATAGAAACATATCGATATCTCTTCGTTTACTTATTTTGGGATGACTATCTCTTCTTGTCACTAGAAGGAAGATCATCCGTGGACCACGTAAGAATTTAGCTGTGCACATGCAGGGTTTGCCAAACCAGTGACTCGCTGACTCCAAATATCTAGGTTACCAACAGCAACGAACTATGGCTGCTTCATACTAAGGACAACCACCCGAGCATGTTGACCCATATCGTTAAAGTCAATGGGCACAGTGTACTGGAGGACGTTGACCAACAATGTCTTTTTTGTTGTTCATATGATTTCATAGGTTTTAATGTGATTTATATATATGTTTTTTTATTGTTTAATATGTATATATAGCTTGATACACAAACTGCCATGGTAGCCAAGAAGCTCCTCGAAGCCCATCATTGGCTCGACTTATCGACATTCCTTTCCAGACTTATGTGTTTTATTTCGCACCTGACAACAAGGGTAACATCTGCGCGTACGCGGATTCAGCTATCTTTCGAAGAGCCAGTCGGAGCTCAATGCAAGGTTTCTCAATTCAACCAGTCAACTGATGTATATACACGCGACAGCTTCTGTATCTACAAAGCATTAGCATCATTAGAAGCTTTCTTGCTTCGGTTTCTTGATGTGTTGAAAAACAACAAAGAGTTAACTTCTTTCTTCTTCTCCATGGCCCTCCTCTAGGCTCTAGCTCTGGTGCCTTCACACCGCAAACCATTACTCCCCGTCTCGACCAACTCGTCGCCTGAGGGGTTCTCGGTGACTTAGAACAATCCTCCCAGGCAGCAAAGCCACGACCTCTTGGCCTCAGAGATGGCGCGGAGGTGGTGCCCCTTGCCAACGTGGCAGCTGGCTTAACCTGGTGGAGGTGTTCATCTAACCACATGTGAGGCAACATTACGTTTTGAACTACAGCCACATGTGAGCATGAAGATAGAGCAAGGTGGATTGTTCAACACCCACTTGGATTGAGGGCAAACAACCGATTGGGTAACTCGGAATCTACTTAAAGACTGCCCATAAGGGACCCTGGCCCATCCCATCACCCACCTGAACCGGACTAATGAACTCTCATCTTTGGTCCCAGCGACCGGCTTTGTCGGTGCCAACTTCAAGTCCTTCTTAGCTCCTGTGACCTTGATCGGAGCCGCGGCTGGCGCGGGGTCCTTCATGGCGAGGCTATCCTGCGCGAAAAGAGAAAAAGCGGATTTCGAGGCTCCATTGACTGCGCACATGTGGGCATTCTTTGAACCAGTCTCCAGTGGGTGCAGTGTCATGGCGTCTGAAGTCGTTTCATTGATCATTGATTCTTGGTCGAAAACACAAAAAGGCAAAACAATCAAACATATTAATTCAACAAAAATCCTCGCAGTCACAGGATCCCACCATCTTGTTTCATCATGTCCTGATGTTTCTTCGCCTGGTAGGCGCTAATGAGCTTGCAAGACTCGCTCAGGATGAAGCATCCCACGGGTCCCGCAATCGCCAAGGCCCATCCGAAGAGACCGATCTCAAGCCCGTAAAGACCCAAAATCTGGTCGGAGAGGTATGGGGTCCTAAGGTGTGACTACTCTGCTCTGACAGGTGTGACTCGAAATGCCAAAGAAGACTCTGCTGACGACTCGATGACAGGAGAGAGAACCAGACTGTCATTCGTTGTTGAGGAATCCGGCAACGGCAACGGCCGTCAAGCATACTTAATCAATCTTCCCATCACTTAATCCGAAACGGGTTCTATTGCCGGAATTACGGGAATCTACGCAGTTGGAGCACTATTCTTGCAAATGATTTATGCCCGCCACCTCCGACACCAGAAATGCAAGAAAACTGTACTAAAAAATCAGCACAAAAATCAGGACGGCCACGTAGAGGCAAATCTGTGCCATCACAATGGCCTTCTGCATGTGCTTGTTGCCCAGGGTATCGTGCCACATCGGGTTGGTGAAGGAGCGGGAGATGTAGGCCCTGATATTTTCCTGAACTTTTGGCATGTAGGTTGGAGGCCTACGCTATTAGGTTGGAGGCCATCGCTACTAGGTTGGAGGCCACCGTTATTAGGTTGGAGGCCATCGCTACTAGGTTGGAGGCCACCGCTATTGGGTTGGAGGCCATCGCTATCAGGTTGGAGGTCATCGCTATTAGGTTGGAGGCCATCGCTATTAGGACGGAGGCCATCGCTTCCAGGTTGGAGGCCTTCGCTATTAGGTTGGAGGCCATCGCCATTAGGTTGGAGGCCATCG